ACCGGGGAAATATTTGTCACACATTTGCAGAAAAACAGGTTCATTGGGTCTATGAGCCATCTAACTATGACAGCTTGTCCTACTCAACCTATAATCACATCACTGCAGGCTACCTGAATGCAAACACCAAGCAAGGCTGTTACGGGATCTTTAACTCTGCACCAGTTTTGCACATACCTCAAATATACACAGTACAGAGACTTCCCACAAAGCAACAACCACATTTCCTGATGCTCCAGAGTAATTCAGCCCAAAACAAAGCAGATCTTTCAGGGAGAGCATGATGACCAACAACCTCTCTCATATTCATTTAAATAAGGAAAACCGCACTTCCTCATATTCCAGAGAGGGAAACCAAAACACTTGCAGGCTGAACAAAACATTTGGCAAAACCTAGTAGACAGAGGAGGGATGGGGGTGCTGTAGCTACAAAATGGCTCAAGCTTTCACAGCATGTTGCAGGCCTAAAGGCACAAAATCGAAGTACATTAGCTGTAAAGTTGTTTTCAGCAATGATGTTTGTATTTTCTGTACTGTTTAATTCTATCAGAGGGGAGCTCAGCAGGACAGACGTGATCAGCATCACAACACCAAGCTATAGCACCACAGATTCGCTGCTTTCCTCTCCACAACTCCTTACATACCTTAATCCTGCATCCCGCGCCAGTGCCGCCTTTCCTATGGCGACACCTCCCTCTGACTCGTCGTTTGCATTTTAATCATCCCTATGATCTCATCTATATTTTGCTATTACCACCTCCATTTTACAGATATTAGGTACAGCCTGTGTTTTCTCTAAGAGTGCTTGAGATATCAACCAAAATAAACTGCAAATTAAGGGCTTAGTCTGTTTCCAGACTTAACATTTTAATACTGAATGCAGTCTGGAGTGGGCAGACCCTCTGTAATAAGGATAAACAACTTTTCTGCTGGAGCTGTGTGTAGGGCAGAAAGGACAGATCTCCGGGGTAGGAAAATAAAGGCTTCAAGGAATCTGTTTGGAGCACTGCTCTCAATCTCCAATACTCCTGCAACTCCCTTGGCTAGCCTGGAGGTGCTCGCAAACATATTTCCTTGGCTGAGAATTCAGGAACGTCAGGACAATTTCATGACCGTCTTAAGGAGATGTGCAGGTCACAGCAAAATGGCTTGCCCCAGCTTCATCACTACAACCAGCTGATCAACCAGAACAGGAATCTGAACCAGCTGAAAACCAGCTGACAGAGAGTAAAAACAATAAGGGGGGGTGGAGGAGAGGCAGAAGAGGTTTCAAGTGGATTCACTCTGAGCAAAAAAGAGCACGCAGGGAAAAAAGTAACCAGGGAAGGAGTCTCTTAGCCTGTATTAATCTTGAGGAAGTTGCCTATAGGAAACTATATCTTGAACTGGATCAGAAAACAAACAAACCAAACCAACCAAGTAGGAAGTCAGTTGTGCTCTGAATGGAAAAAAACCAGTCTGTGTCCTAAAAGGAAAGTCACAAGAACAGCTGAATTTTGCTGCAGTGATAACTATGTTGTATTCTAAATACATTACATGGAAACTATTGACCTTTATCTGAAGCAGTGATGTATAGAGCAATTTGGTGGCTGCTAGCAATGTAACAGCAAAGCTGTGGAACAGGAGCTCACCTAACGAGGAACTGAGACGCCCACACAGTTCATGCAGACAGTGCAAGAAGGCCAGGGAATGGCAAGGTGCGGAGTTTGTACTCTGAGCTCTGCTCCATCCTTCCCTTCCTGAAGTCTTCCTCTGCCACTGGAATTGCAGGCACCCTGTAAAAGATGTCCCCAGTGACAATAACGCAGCCTAGTGACCTCAGGTAAGTCACCAGCTGACAAGATACCAGTTCCCTGAACAGACAGACCAAACATCCAAGTGGCCCAAATGAAGCTTTGCAGACATGGATTTACAGGAATCAGAATAGGGGATTTAGAAGGCTGGGACACACACAAATATAGGAACTTGAGCAATATCCCAGAGCAGTGGAGCTGACCACAATCTGCATGCCGCAGGGAACGCTGACTATGTGTTGCTTTCTCACCCGATGCATCTGCTTCCTCGGGAGCTGGGCTTTCTCCCCAGCGCTTCTGCCCCTTGCTCCTCCCACGTTTATGGTAAAGCTACAGAGAAAAAGAACAGCATGGAAAGAGCGGGTAAAGGAAATTAAAACTACTGCAGTGAGACAAGAGAAGCAGTCAGCAGCTATTTTTGAGGTGGACACAGCACAGTGGCGGACAAAGACACAGTCCTCATCCCTCCTGCACAGAAGGGACATGTTCTGTTTGCAGCTTTGGCATATTTCTCTAAGCTGCCCTTTTCTTCAGTCAGTGTTTGCTTTCGCAATATACCCTCATTTGGATCCCAGATGACACCATTTCCAAATCCCATTCCTATTTCCCATAGAGTGTGAAAGGAAGACCTTCCACGCGGAGCCAAGCAGACCAGCACAATAGCACCGCTTCCTTTCATTTCCTCCATCTGAAAAGTGGACCTGGGTTTAAGAAATCAGACAGGAAATAGCTGACCTCAACTGCTGCATTTCTACTTGTGGGTACTTAACCCACACTACTGTTAATACGACAGTCTCTTTTGAAAACTTTAAAACAGTAAGTTTCAACCACTTGCCAGCAGACAAGTTGGTCAGGCAGTTAAAGTGTATAAATTAATCCATCACTGTGTGTTTTTTTTTACAACCCATGTATTAAGTCATTCATCCGTTTCCTCTTTCTTTCTTCCTTTGCAAGGGAAAAATAGTCAAAACCTACTAAAAACAACAGCCAGATGACAAGTTTGGACATTTCAAAATCCTTAAAAAACACAAAGGAGAAACAATGCTTATTTATGTATTTCTCAGAAATGATACAAAAAGCAAACGGTGCTGAAATATCTGAAGTGGAACACTTCAGCCCAGAAGCTGCCTGGCACTTCTTTGATAGCTACTTCTTTATCATTATCAGGCAGGTTGTTTTGACAGCTTCACTTCTAAGCTGACTGTAAATCTGTGAATATTTCACTGATGATTGAGCTGGAACAGCTACTGACAGTATCCATCTCCTTGGAGCATGAAGATTTAGCCAGGCTCCAGTAGCCAGTAACATAGCAGAGCCAAAGAGCTGAAAACCTGTATTTACTTTGCACTGTGTAATTCACTGGGACTAATTTAACAATGTGCTTCGTAAGTTCAACCCTTCAAGGGAGAACTGCATTTAAATAGTAACAAAACAGCTCAAATTTACGAAAGCTCAAGAGCTTTCTGAAAATTAAACTGGCAACAACACCAAAAATTTTTACAGGGCTGCAGGATTCCTAAGTCTCCATGGGGTGCTGCTTCTTTACACCACACTGTTAGCTTTAGTCCCCATTACTGTTTAGCCCTTACTGCGAAAAGAAAGTCACGTTCCTGTCTCACTACCGCTGATGACCAAGAAGCTGCTGTGATACGCTCTGTACTTGCAGCCTGTGACAGTCAGGAGCTGACTGACACCTGCCAAGAAAGCAGGAGGTCTCCTGGGACAGCCCTTTGCAGCTCCTTGCGCCTCTGCTTCAAGAGCTTGACCCTACGTGGTAATCACAGTTGGCATCCTAAACACGAAACAGAATGAGCACTTGGCATCTTCACCCTTCCCAGTGTTTTGTTTTCAGCTGCTGGGTGTTCAGGCACAGACAGTAAAGAGGACCTTGTCCCAGAACGCAACAGCTGTCAGTATTCGGTGCTCAACAACAAAGCAGCAAGCCTGCCAAAAGACTTTTTAGAAAAACATTGCTTTGGAAAAGAGGGAAAGCTTGGAGGCAGGAAACATGTTCTTATCTTCTACAGAGTTTACAGCTGATTTGATTAAAAGTCTCTTCTTCCCACCATAATTGAGCATCCCTGTCTCTGAACCTCAGACTGCTGCTGCAGGCAGGGAAGTACAATAACTTCTTTATCTAGACTAAAAAAACAACACAGTTTAAGTGACTTGCCAAAGGCAACACAAAGTTTATGGTGGAGCAGAGACCTGTGTGTCAAAGTATCATCTCTGTACCACATACGAACGAGTGAAGCGTGCTTCCCTGTTCTATGACTCAGCAGAAAACAGCCCCACCAAGATAAACAGTACATTTTAACCTATCCACCTATGACTTTTAAATTTTAAGTCTATAATGGCTAAATCCTGGGATTTTTTTATGAGTGCATATTTTTATTGATTTAACTGTTTTTTGACCAAAGGACATTGGATATTTGTGTCCTATCCCACCTGCTGCTTGTATTTTGAGGGCACAGCAGATCAGGTGTCATGAAGAAAGAACTGCATTGAAACCAAGAACTGATCTCATGCTTCTCAGACCCTGCGAATGGCCATCATGCTCCAGACAGAAGTCCAGCTAGCTCAGCATCCCCCCACTCAACCGAGGTTGGGCAGATCCCTTAGTGATGCCCAGGGAGGAATGAGAACAGGGCAAGAATGTTTTAATTCCCTTCAACAGCACATTTTACGTCTCCTCTTCGAAGAGCAAAATACAAGTGCATTTAACATGGGTTTCACAAAGTACGGCAGCTTCACGTCCTTGCGACGCTACGATGCTGCTTTGTCTCACAACTGTCACTGCAAAAATCACATGTACTAAAAGACACTGAGCAACTTGCTTTTAGGAGATTCAATTTCACAGCCTTCAGCTATTTTGCTAAATGTAGAAAACATCTGCAACAAGTGCAGCACGCAGCAGCTGTACAGCAGTCAGCTCTGCTCCAGACTCTGGCCCCTTTTCAGGCAGACATCTGCCATGCCCACCTGTGACCGTAAGCAGCAGAAAATGCAGCTGGTACGTTCTCAAAGGAGAACCCCACGGAAGCGCAGCAAAGGTCGAAGAACGAGCCCCTGGCAAAGGCGGGGGAGCTGTTACCAGGCAGCACCGTCTGATGGAGAGGCGGGTCTGAGAAAGCGTCTCCGTGCCTGTTCGCTCAGCTCCCGCTCAGGTTTTGGCTAACCTGCCGCCCATCCCAAGGCCCGAAGTACCGGGAGCAGCACCAGCAGGTCGAAGCGAGAGCACTGTGTCGGCAGGACATGACGGGCAGGAAGGGCTAAGGCCATTACGCAACCTTCATCACCTGCAGCTTGTGGCGTCCGGCAGCCGTCATCCTTGCATTTCGATCAGCTGGCCTTTTTTTTTAGAATCCACTAACCTATGGAGAGGGTGTAGAGCCAACTTCCTCAGCTCACACAGGAAGCTTCTGAAGCAGACCCAGCGGCAGCCAGACTGCCAAGGCTCTCGTGCCTCCAACACCGGGGATGCCCGCAGCATGCAGGGGGAGAAGGGTGAGCCCTCTCGCCCCCAGCAAGGTAACTGCTGGGCTCACAGGTGCACAAGTTAACGAAATCAGAGAACCTGCGAGTCAGAAACCTCATGAATTAAGTGATCAGCTACTAAATTGATGTTAGACTGGTCTGTGGTTTGATGTGTTCCTTTGTTTTCTTTCCTAATGAGCTCGTTAAATAAAGTTTAATTTACAGAGTACATTGTCCTGTAAATCTGAGAGACCCACAAGGACTGCAACGCTCTTCTCCCCTCAACCTGGTGTTCAAGGATGAGTACCGAGTGAGGAGTTTGCCAGGTTTATAAATCCGCATTTGCCTGTCAGACCCAAATCAGCATGGTTAACTCTTGTTGCGTTGCATGTCCTTCACACTAGATTCAAATAATGCTGACAGCTAATGTGACTAATGTCACAGGATGAAGCCAGACTCAATACATACATCTAATCACCCTGAAAGAACTGGATTTTTCTTACTACATATTTATTAGATTTCTGTCTAGCGTAGCTCTGTGTACATGAAGTAATGAATTCCTGTCCTCTCCCAAAGCAGGGTATTTAATAGCTCAGACTATTTCACTCTCAAGAAGTCACGTGTAGGATACTCAAAATTTCCATTTAGCCTTACCCTCGACTGTACACATAGTTCTTTTCTTTTTTCTCTGCTTGCACCTCTCACGCTTGTTAGATTTATGAACCCCTGCGGCCACTGCTTAGACAAGTTATGCATATTTAATTCTTAAATTTTTCGTCATAAATTAATCTCTACAGCTTCTACCCACTTACACTGCTTTTGAGTTCCCTATATGATCAATATCTTTATGGTAATAGGAACACCGAAGCCTAACATAATATTTCAGGTACTGTCCAAACAGTGCTCTTATTCTCTTGTCCCCTGAAATTATTCCTGCCACATATGCAACACAAAATTACACTGGTCTTTCCTACGACCCTAGCATATTCACCTGGTTTTCTCATCATTAAAACCTTTTTTTCAGGAGTGCCAAAATTCAGTGGGTTTCCTCCAGGGAGATGGGGAGGAGCACAACAAAGGTATCACATTTGCTCTTTTCCTTTTGTCTAGCACTGAGATAGTGCATAGTAAAATGGAATATCAAGAGACTTCAAGTTTACTACAACAAAAATTACAAAATAAGTACTATGTCGATCCTCCGAAAGCCTGTCACGTTGATGTTGCTGTTCAGATGCCCTTCAGATTCTCTCTCAAAATCTATGCCATTGGATTTCACTGGGACACAAGAGCAATTTATAGTTATTTATCTCTTTTATCAAATGGCTCTATTTTTGCAGCATCAGCGAGACAGCAAGGCCTGGAAAGAAATACACCGGCCACTTCAGAACCTCATGTTGTATTCTGCATGCACGGAACATGAGGCAGACGTAAACACAGTCTCTCTCTTCAGTAGCAGCAGCTGCAGGGTGATGTTAGCAGCTGTGTTAAGACTGAGCAGGCATTGCTGTACTGCTGCTGCTCTTCCCTTTCCATGTAACACAGATTCTGGACCTCTGCAGGAGTGTTAATGCTTTCAGTCCAGAGGGAGAAAGCAGGGTGAGCATGAAGGGGTCTGTGAAGGAGGACAACACCAAATCCAGCCAGCAGAATCATGACCATGCCTGCAAAAGTGTTTCATGGTAAGGAAAGAGGCCTTGCGTAATCGCTGCACCCATCACTACCAACACAAATTACCATCAGGACAGCAGGTTTGAAAACTGCTTCCTTTACAAACAGCAGGCGAAAGAGAGTTAAGACTGGCTACTGGACTTGCAGCTGATGAACAGCAAAATCTGACCCCATCAAACCACTAAATTCATGTCCACTTTAACAGCCACCCTATTACAGCCAGCACCCATCCTGATACTCGCAGAAGTGAACTCAGAGGCAGAATATTCCCTTACACTGTGCTACAGCAACTCTACAGCTCAAGCAGAAACTTTACTCTCAACAAATACTCAATATATTCTAGTTTCTTTTTTTTTAAAAGGAACTGGACATTAATTGTCCTCGGTCAAGAATCACAGAATCACAGAATGGTAGGGGTTGGAAGGGACCTCTGTGGGTCATCTAGTCCAACCCCCCTGCCGAAGC